TGAGCCGAAGTTGGACGCTCAACCAACTGAGCCACCCAGGCACCTCTGGTGGCCATTTTAAACTGCAAAATCACCAACAAAAAGCACCAAAATGTGAGAAACGTGGCATTAAAAAGACCACAAAAAGGATGCTCATTTACAATATGTGCTGAGATGAGGTGAGGTGATGACCTCACCTGGGAACACGTACATCAGACAACTCAAGATTTTTCCCCACTCTGTGCATGTCCTCAAATGACCACGAAAACACCCCAATTTTGAGGTTACAGATAACTACTACTAATTAGCAAGAAGGCGAATCCACAAATGAAGATTCACTATAGCTGATACATGACTCTAATCCAGTGCCACAGGGGCTGCAGGAGCACAGGTACAGGGCAATTCTTAACACTCCTTGAAGTTTGAGAGGCTTTGCTCAAATCCTCACCTACCTCCCCCTCTGCTCCTCCCACCCCAGTCCAAGCAACTCCATTTCATGCTGTTAGGAGGTGTTACCTCATCCACCTGTATCCAGGCCCCAGTGAGCCCACCTACTCCACTCCACAAGCAGGGCTGGCGTCCCGAGCATTCGGCACATGCAGCCACAAGGGGCCTTGCACCCGGCACAGTGTTCTGCTGTCGCTGGCTGAAACTTACTAACCTGTGAACAAGGGACCCCATGTTTCATTTGATTATATTGGTTTCATTTTGCACCCGTTACACAGCTGCTCCTGTCCATAACAACACACCCCAAATCTATCCATGTCTGTCCTCTACTTCCTAGTTTAAGTTTGTCCCTGCTCCAGGATGACTGCTGTAACCTCCTGCCCAGTATCCCTGCTCTAACAGCAGCCGGCCGTCCTCCTGTCACAGTGTCCCACACTGCCACTCTTTTTTTTTTTTTTTTTTTTTTTTTTTTTTTTGTAATGTTTATTTTTGAGAGAGAGAGACAGCACAAGCAGGGGAGGGGCAGAGGCAGAGACACAGAATCCGAAGCAGGCTCCAGGCTCTGAGCTGTCAGCACAGCCCTACGCAGGGCTCAAACCCATGGACTGAGATCATGACCTGAGCCGAGGTTGGACGCCTAACCAACTAACAGACTGAGCCACCAGGCACCCTGAGAGTTGACTCAATTTTGAAAAAAAAATTTTTTTAAGTTTTAATTTCTGTAAGAGCGAGCATAAGCAGGGAAGGGGCCCGACACAGGGCTTGAACTCAGGAACCATGAGATCATGACCTGAGCTCAAGTCAGACCCTTAACCAGCTGAGCCACCCAGGCACCCCTGCCAGTCTTCTTCACAGACCCCTTATCTCCTGCTAAACACTCTTCGTCTTTCCTGAGCCTTTAACTGGCCCAAAAGGCCCTGGGTGGCCTGGTACCAACCTGCCCACCTGTTCAGCCTTATCTTATGCTGCCCTCCCCCCCTGCTCACTACACTCCTCAGCACCACTTCCTTCTTTGTGGCACTTGTCACACTGAGCATTTTACAGGCATTTGCGGGATTGATTCTGTCTTCCCCACTCGATTAAAAACTCCCGTTGGCAGAGACCATACTTTGGCTCAGTAAAATATGTGTTGCTTGAAAATCGTTGTATTCCTGGTTGAGGTGTGGCTGTGCAGTCAGTACTAAGGCCCAGGATGTGTTTCCTCTAGGCTGACGCCCCCAACCCATCCCTCATCCCCGAGACCGATGCCGTGGGTGTGACCGTGGTCCTCATCACCTGCACGTACCACGGACAGGAGTTCATCCGTGTGGGCTACTATGTCAACAACGAATACCCCAATCCCGAGCTGCGGGAGAACCCACCCCTGAAGCCAGACTTCTCTCAGGTGGGGCTTGTCTCTGCACTTCCTGCTTCAGACAGGCTGGCTCCTTTGCACCTGGGGGAGTTGACTCATTGGAACTGGGAGCCAAGGTCACTTCTGAAGGTTTTCAAGCCATCCTCAGATCTTGCAGCTCCAGACTAGAACTGGAGAGAGAAAGGTCTTTTGTTTCTCAGAAGCACCCCTCGCAGAATCAAGATTAGATAGGTCCCAGCCCTAAGTCATGGTACACAGGCGCTCCCTGGAGTTCTACATGTAGTTGTTGATGGAGATGGAATAAGTGAGATCTGTTCTTCCTAACTTTGGGGCAGGGGTTTGGGGGGGCCCCGGCTCTGTGGGAGTAATGAGAGGGCATGCTGACAAGGGTTGACATTCCTCTTTCTGCCCCAGCTCCAGAGGAACATCTTGGCCTCGAACCCCCGCGTGACCCGCTTCCACATCAACTGGGACAACAACATGGACAGTCTAGAAGCCATAGAGAACCAGGACCCTGCCCTGGGCTGTGGCCTCCCCCTCAGCTGTGCTCCCATCAAGGGCTTGGGTCTCCCTGGCTGCATTCCTGGCCTCCTCCCCGAGAATTCCATGGACTGCATCTAACTGCAGGGATCCAGGCCCAACCTGGGCCCAGCTGGGATTGTGGCCAGTCTCCTAGAGCATCTGGAGGGGGCAGGCGGGCCTCCCAGACAGTCCCATGGAGGCCATCTGGAGAACTCTGGGGCCATCAAATACACCAAGGCTAGGCAGACATGGCTCTGAGGAAGGAGCGGGCCTCAGGTCTCTCCCAACCCTGACCCAGAAGGATCATCTGACCTCTAGTGCCCAGGCCTGTAAGAAGCGGGTACTTCAGTTTTTAATTCTTTGTGACTTGTGTCTTTTCTCCTTTCCACACTATAAATTCCGCCTGCAGGCCTTTGTGCCACCATGGTCCTGTGAATACCACTGACCCAAAATTCTTCCCACAGACCTCCCTGCCCTGCCTTGAGACTTTCTTGGTCAATGTCTGGCAAGGCTCCAGCACTATTGAGACAAAGGCTGTCATTCCTGTCCCTTCCCAAACATCTGAGCTGATCCACCCAGCTTTTTGGAGTCACAGGCAAGAAATCTTGGTTAGAAGGTGGACTTGGACATAATTTCTGTCCTTCCAGGACAGTTTTTAGGTCTTTTCAATCCAACAGCCTCTGGAAAACCTCTGTTCCCAAAGCTGTGCTCAGCAGGATGCTGAGGAATGATGGTCCAACTCTCAGTCACAGCCACCTTCCTGTCATCTAACTGGATCCGGCTTTCCCTGGAGGCTGTCACAGTGGGAGGATGGCATGTTGGAGGAGTCCGCTGTGCTCTGTCCATCTCGGTGTCGGCATCGGGCCCCTCTGCAAAGACCTCATGCTCTCAGGCCACAGACAGACTACAGGCACAGGAAACAGTAGGGACTCTGGAAACCTCTCCTCCTGCCATGCTGCCCCTGCCACGCCCGGCCCTCTCGCTGCTACGTGGATGCTGTTGTGATTGCAGTTTGTGTATTAAAAGGTTTTTATATTAAACATGTTTGGTTGGTCTAAAAATAAAAAGCACTTCATCTAGACTGTTTCTGCTTTTGTCTTAGGTGGGCTGACCATCTCTTGTCCTTCTCTCCTCATGACGTGCTGAGGGGGCTCTTGCCCCAGACAGTGGGTTGACTGTCCCGTGTCCCCTTGCTTAGCTTCTTACCCTGGTCTTAATTGGTTACCTAATTGTACTCCAGACTGAGGTTCAGGGAGGGATTTTTCTTTGTCAAAAGTTAAGCAACCCAGCTGTTCCGGATAGAGCATAACCAGTGATTTTTTAGACTTTGACCTTGACCCACAGGAAGAAGTTAACATCATGCTCCAAGGACACACACAGCAACATATTAAATTTTACTTTGCTTTGTAACCCCACAGCCCAGGGTAGACTTGTCTGGCTGGTGAGCCATTTCCCCATAATTCACAGAAGTGCCCAGACACTTACCTCCCAGAAACTGGTGGACCTAGGAACATGGGTGCAGACAGCTATTGGCTAGGGTGCAGGTTGTAGAAGCCTATAGGCAGGACAGCAAATTGGCTCGTAGACCTGAGACTAGCTAGCCCTCTGAGTCAAGATAGCTGGCTCATCCAGCCCTCCTCCCCTCTTGGCACCTTCTGTTTGGGTCTTCTGTAGTGTTTTCAAGCAGGGGCAATTTAACAATGTCTGGAGATGGTTGCGGGGGGGCGGGGGGGGGGCTTCTACTGGCATCCAGTGGGTGGAGACAGGATGCCTTTAAACCTTCAGTGCGCAAGACAGCCCCCTTCCCCAACAAAGTATGACCCTGCCCCAAATGTCAGTAGTGTGGCAGAGAGAAACTGACCTCAGGCTGTGTTTTAAAAGGGCACCCAGAGGGGCGCCTGGGTGGCGCAGTCGGTTAAGCGTCCGACTTCAGCCAGGTCACGATCTCGCGGTCCGTGAGTTCGAGCCCCGCGTCGGGCTCTGGGCTGATGGCTCAGAGCCTGGAGCCTGTTTCCGATTCTGTGTCTCCCTCTCTCTCTGCCCCTCCCCCGTTCATGCTCTGTCTCTCTCTGTCCCAAAAATAAAAATAAAAACGTTGAAAAAAAAA